TAGATAGGGAAATATCCGACCGCTCTATATAACCTCACCGCTTCTCTTCTTCTTCTGAACTGCCTCCTTGAACTCACATATTCAATTCTCCTTTTTTATCTTGTTCTGTTCAGCCGCGGAAACGCCCATTCTTGTGGCGAATCTGCTCGATGTCATGAAGGGTGGCTCCGGAACCGTGGCCAAGGTCAGTGCTCGCACCCATTTGAGTGCTTTCTAGTTGTCTTTTGTGGTTGTGATAATATTTTTGAAACGTCTTTTCCCAGGTACACATTTGAAGATTGCGTATGCAGCAGAATTTACTGGAATCATAAATTTCGCGAGTGCTCATCAGCTGCGTCCTCTCGCCGCATAAAGTAACGAATGAGAGAATACACAAAAATTGAATTCGTACAGAAAAATCGATACAAAACAGCAAGGTCACAAGAATTGGCCAATAGGCAATGAATAAAGTAGGAAAGGTAAACGCTGTATGCAGCAAAAAACGCTATAAAAACGTCTAAGGCGAAAGGTTGGGAAGAGGAATGTGTAAACAGGGAGCCGGTGTTACCACGGCAGAGTTAGATTAACCACATGCTCCAGTTTTGTTTACATAGGTCAGAGTTAAACCGCCGTGTGTAGGCTGCCTCCAGGTAGCGTAAGGTACGAGTTGCTCGTGCCGGAGCAAGTACTGGGAAGGATGTTTCGGGGTCTACAGAATGGCCTGTCTCCGATAGCTTTTCAGTAATGGAAGAACGAGGAATTCTATTCTGTTTTAGTAGCTAACTTGGCAAGTGCTGCTTAGCTCTGGCTGCCAATTGCCTCTGTGTTCGCCCTATGTACTTGCATCCACAAGTGGCGTACAATGGCAAGGCATCCCTCGCGATTGGAATCGAAAGGTTCTGTGTCGGGTTACAAAATATGAGCTCTGCACGAACAACTCGTACGTTACGCTACCTGGAGGCAGCCTACACACGGTGGTTTAAACCTAATATACAGTAGTCGCCACAGACCATGCAATTTTCATAACTTTGTATAAGTTTGATCATTACTCGACTACCAGTGTGAATGCATTTAGGAAGATTTAGAAATAATAATTAACTGCATCAGGCATAAGTGAATGCATTTAGGAAGATTTAGAAATAATTATGAACTGCATCAAGCATATTAGGTAATTAAAAGAACAATAGGAATTACTAAGTGCTTGTAAAGAAAAATAAAATTTTCTCGATAACGAGGTGGTTCTAGAGACGTCAAAAAGTGCTCTAAATTAGAACAATAAATTTA